CCCTCGAAAAAATGGTCCGATCGGGCTCAAAATTTTACCACCGATACTTCAGACCCTATCTCAGGTTCTTTTTTTCTTTTCAAAAAATATGCTTTCTTTCTCGAGACATACGAAAAATGCTGAAAGTCACGCAATAAAAAGGCAGATTTTTTCAGTTTTCTTCACTGCTTTTCAGCATTTTTCGTATATCTCGAGAAAGAAAGCATATTTTTTGAAAAGAAAAAAAGAACCTGAGATAAGGTCTGAAGTATCGGTGGTAAAATTTTGAGCTCGATCGGACCATTTTTTCGAGGGGTCGTAATGTGACTGGATGGAAACTGGAGTTATACAGAAAACCCATATAAAGAACATCTCAGAAAATTCTGGGCAAAAATACATCGATTTTCTTTTTCGATGTTCTATCTCTGCTATAAATTTGAGCTCAATCGGACGTGTGCTCCGGATTTGGGAACAAGATAAAAAAAGAGGGGGATACCCTTAAAGACATCTGTATTTCGGCTTGTCCAAACGTAACGTTTTTGACACACTTTTTTTTCAATTATTTCGGAAAGTTTGAGAACTAGGAAGTTCGTTCAAACGCCATTCGACGCAACTCATCATACTCTATTTATGCTATAAAAATGAAGTTTTTTAGTTGAAGTCTGGAACTTCGAGAAAGGTTTTTTCACCGCGTAACGCTGTTACATAAAAGGATCCTAAATTCGGAGTACTCTTGCTAAAGTTCTCAATGAAATGCCCCCCTATAGCAAATTTTGTAGAGCATCAAACGAGCTTTTCAGCGGTAACAAACGTTTTCTTCTAACTATGCTTACTTGCGTAAAAAAGGCAAAAAGCAAACGTAACGCTGTTACACATTTTTTTTGTCCTTGTGCCTGGACTGAGAAATAGTTCTCAAAACAAAATGAGCCATTTTGTACAGAATTGAATTCTCTATTCGACAGTATATTTTTAAAATTTTTTACGAAAATCTCTAGATCATAAACTTAAAAGTTTTTAATTGAAAATTCAGTTTTTTTTCAAAATAAAGGCCGAATTCGTGGTCAGCATGAAAAACTACGTCTGATAATGGGCTCCTATCGATTTCCCGATGAAAAACTAAAAACAAAACTTGATCAGTGCAGTGTCGCATTTAGTCAGTTTGCGACAAAACGGAAGTGGTTTTGATTGAGAGTTCACCTGCGAATCTTCTTGCACTTTTTATGTTGGTTTTTTCCAACGTTTAAAGCATATATTTAAGTAGAAATAAATAAACCGTCTGGTAACCTTATCAACTGCTCGTATCAACCGCTACGGTGGAAAGGAAAGGAAGAAGAAAAAAAGAAGCGTCTCCACACCTGAATACCAAGACACAGCTACTATTTGAACAGAACGTTTACTTTTTATGTTGGCTTTTTCCAACGTTTAACGTATATAGTATATAGAAAAGAAGGAGGGATATACAATAAGAAAAGGCTTGTTGTTTTGCTAAATATTATTTTAGTTTTGAGAAACAGAGATCGTGCACAAATCATCTACACCTTACAGAAAGAGCTATTATTCGTGGTAACGCTAGTTCGGGTAAGAAATCTTTTATGGGATCATGACCTTTAGTTGGGATCTTTACTAACACGGTTGGCAGATACAAAATATTTCATATTCGAAGAAAAGAGAAATAATCTAAATAAATCTTTTTGCCGACAATGTGGCAGGTGTATTTAGATTAGAATTATATTCAATCGACGTGCAAGTTCGCCCACTTAACACCTTTCAGGGGATCTTGATCGAACTGTTCTGATTTAATGTACTTGGTGCTGCTTATGCTCGACTACGTTAACGGTCCTCAACAGTCTAGAAGATTTGCAGGCGAACTCTCACTCAAAATCACTTCAATTTTGTCGCAAACTGAGAGCTATTCACCATTCGGTAGCTGAGCATCGTTGCGGCAGAACTGTCATGGGTATTTTCATGCCCAAACTTTCCAAAAAAATGCCAAACATGAATGTTTGACATGTGTCAAACAGTTGAATTGCTGAACGGTTGGCAGGCTATGTGCGGGTGGGCCGACCGGAGACGTGAGATTGAGTAGCCAGACGACATTTCATTTGTGTTTAGCGTTTAGTGATAGTCCTTCTAACAATTCGACTTGTTTGACATATTGCAAACATGAATGTATGAATGTTTAATGTTGACTGTCTATGAATACTAGCTTGACATAGTGTCAAACACTTCGGTATTTTGTGACGTGTTTTGGACGTTTGATGTGTTGGGATTTGTGTTGAATGTTAGTATATGAATCTTTAGTATAGCATTCGTCATGTAGTTTGATAATTGCAGGGCTCTTACAATGAGTGTACCTAACACCGGTAGCCTTATACACGTTGACATTTCGATCTTAATGTGTATCAATACTTTTCAATGTTCAACAAGAAATCTGCCCAAATTAATGTTGGAAAACTTTGTCAGTAGTACACACTTGGATGGAAATGGATCTCGACTATCAATCCAACCAGGCGCAGCTAAAGGTAAGAGAAATCAAATGTTCATCAGTTAATGTAGTTGCATCTAAGGATTTAGGATTGTTGGATGACTTTACTGTTATTTGTTATAAACCTCGGATGAAATTCAGTCAAATACATAAGAATAAATTTCGTCGATTGGTCGGCAATTTGCAATTTTTTGATGATGAATCGCCGTTTCTGCGTTATATTCATTTAAATACAGACAAAGATATTTTTTTAATCGGGCGGGATATCGAGGTCAGAGAAGTCATTCAACACGTTCATCATTTGACTCACATTCATTCGATTCATCTCTACTCTTGTGACATGGGGAGTACTACAACATGGACAAAATCGTATCATAAGATATGCGACGTTTTAGACGATGAAATCAACGTTTGGTTAACGTTTGGAACTCGTTTGGCGGCGTATTTGACGGAAAAAGGAAATCAATGTGCGCAGCGTGGCGATATTGAATTGGCTGATAAAACTTATTCTCGAGCGCTTAACCTGTACGGTACAATAAAAGAATATTTGATCGCTAGAGTTCATAATAAACAATAGAACTGTTGTCGATGAACTAACCATTTTAATCTAAGTAAAACAGACATTCATTTTTTATATAAATGTTTTGGAAGTGCACATTAATCTGGTAAGTGTCGTATTTTTGTAAGACGTTTGCATATTGAATATGATGAATAAATGACTTACGTATGAAAAAAAGTGAAGTAGTGATATTGAAAGGTCAGCAATATAGAAAACATAGTACTCGAGTCATATATCGGCCCTTCTAGTGTTATAGTTCGTAAGAACATAAGAACTTTGTTGTTTGAATTATAAAAGGACGTGGGCAGGTGAGACAAGAATATTTCAGCAAGCAATTTGACTTTATTCTACTGGAAACATGTCAGAGTGATGTCTGAAACATTTTCTACGTACTACCGTAAGTAGTTTCTCGAAATTCCAATAGCAAGTTTTTGACGGCTTTGGTGTAGACACCTTTTATGCTCTATTTAACGGATGGAAGAAAAAGAGTGCGTCATAGTCATGCTTTTTCTATTGATAGTAGAATAGAAAAAATCGCTAAATAACGAAGGCGGTAGCATCATACAGTAAAATTTCGTTCTCTCCAAGAGCACATGGTTTTTCAGTTTTGAACATGATATTTGTGATCAGCGTACTCGAATAGATATATCATGTGATTTTGTGGAAATGTGAGAAAAAACGTTTTCAAGAAATCCTGGAGAGTACCAAAGCCGTCAAAAACTTGCTATTGGAATTTCGAGAAACTACTTACGGTAGTACGTAGAAAATGTTTCAGACATCACTCTGACATGTTTCCAATAGAATAAAGTCAAATTGCTTTACTGAAATATTCTTGTCTTACCCACCCACGTCCTTTATGTTGGGGATAGAGTATGAAAAAAATTAGTTTCTTTCCTTTCGTTGGAGTGACTTTGAACTGCGTGAAACGAAAGAAAAAAATGATAACAGCGTACTTGCAGAATAAGATGACTTACAGAACATTCGGTTACGTTGGAAAGCACCAGACAAGTGCGTCATTTTCCCATAAAGCCAGTCTTGAAAAGCTTCCTTTCGTGTTTGTCTCAGAATCAGGAGATGTGAAGTATCTTAGAGTGGACTAGTAGAGAGAATATTTATTTTTCTTAAGGAAATGAAACACTTTGCATCAGCTAAACCGACTGGGATACTATTTGGTTAGTGCCATGGAGGGTTCTAGAAATAATCATCTACTCTTTTCATCACGAACTGAAAGTTCGAGTCAATACTCCTTAATGTCGCGAAGACTTGCGTCAGGTTAGATTTAATGTAGCCCTGATGGTTAGCATATAACAGTTTTAGATTGAAGGAAGTTTAGAACTGATCAGTTCTCATTTGGTTTTCAATCATGGAGCAACGCGAGGTAACAAGCGCACATGAAAGCGTTTATGTAGATGAGAAGTAACGTTTTTGCATTCTAGACGCCTGCGGGCCAAGTGACATCCAGTTCAACTGGTACGGATGAAAATATTGACCTTACTCTATCAACAATACGTTCAATTGGCCTTGATGATGAAAGAGCTGTGGAAAATATCACAGTTTTGGAACAAACAGTGCTACAGCAACAACAAGAATTACGCGAACAATACGCTGCAGCAAGCTCAAGAGTATGCAATTCGTCCGATTATTTTGGTTCGCAAACAGTAGAGAAAATCAGTTTTGCTGGGGTTGAAGATAAAACTATGGACGAAAGTAAGCCAAAAAAGATGCAGCCTTTACTTACAAAAGTGACTTTAATGTTTATTTATCAAAAATGTCCTCTCATGATTATTTTCACGCTAGAAACATGTGTTGCATTTAGAACTATCGTATGAACCAGCGTTTAAGACGTATCGTCTGTTAGACGAGAGTGTAACTAGCTTCATTCTAAGACCAAAAGTAGACGAAAGGTATGCTGTTAATAAATATTGTATTGATTGATATCCTAAGTAGGTCATTTACTTTTTAAGATATGTTTTTTATTATCTTGAGCACGGGGATTTCCAATCATTTAGACTAGTACTGAGTCAGAATCATGAAGCAGTTATATTTAGTAAAAATGATCGTGGTCAAGTGAGTATCCTATTCATTCTGAAGTTTGTAAACTATACGTTTTTCGTCTATTTCAAGACTCTGCTACATGTGGCTGTTATCAGATCAGTGGCATCTGTATGGATCCGTATGCTGTTGAGCGAGTGTGCAAGAAGGACGACCGTCTAAATGTAAGAAAATTTTTCCTTCTTCATGAATGAGAAACTGCTGCAAGAGAATGGAAGCGGTTAACTCCGTTTTTTTGCCAGAGACAGTAGTAATATTTGGAGGAATATCTCCTAAGGTTTCATTAAATGTATTATAACTGCTGCTGATATGCAATATGCGATCTTCAAGAATCGTAAAATTCAAGAATCAGGAACAAAATGTTTGATGAGTGTCCTACGTGCGCTATGAATAGTACGACTGACTGTCTTTTTATTTTTAAATGAGAATAAAACGGCTACTGTTCGATTGCTAGCACCAGTACAAAGTTTCGTGAATAAGAAGCAGTAGCGACATGTGCTGTACCAGTGTCAGATGAAAGGTAGATGAATGAGGAGAAAGGTATTCTAGAACATAAATGGTCAAAATTCTCTTTCGTAGGTCCAATGAGAGCGCATATATTTATATTTCAAGAAATATTTCCCGAATGGAATAGATTCCACTTTCCCATATTTCCCAATCGAGAAATATTTTTTGGGAACTCTTGGAAACGGACTGCTTGCCACAATGTCAGAAAAAAGATTTATTTAGATTATTTTTCTTTTCTTCGAATATGAAATATTTTGTATCTACCAACCATGTTAGTAAAGATCCCAACTAAAGGTCATGATCCCATAGAAAATTTCTTACACAAACTAGTTTTACGACGAACAATAGTTCTTTCTGTAAGATATGAATGATTTGTGCACGATCTCTATTTCTCAAAACTAAAATAATATTTAGCAAGAAGAACAAGCCTTTTCTTATTGTATTTGCCTCCTTCTTTCCTATATACTGTATACTCTAAAACGTGGACAAGCCAATTTCTGAAGAGAAGAATAGTAAAACGAAAGCTCAGCTAACCAATGTAGGGGGAGAGGGGCAGTGGGTAGTGAGAGTGAGTAGAAAAACAACATTCTTCACGTTACTGATGTATGAGGTCGGGATCTGTATAGTGGAATGGAAGGAAACTATGTTTGAGAAGGTCGTTATGCACATGCTTCTTACATAAGGGAACCCCATTTTTCATAAAAAGTATAGAAATATTTAAAGGCAGATGATTGACAATGCTGTTATTCTCCTACGGTAACGGTCAAGGTAAGTTTGAGATGCACGAATCAAGTTGACATCATGCACAATGGGCTCACTTATTCAAACTTGATTATTAAAGTATTGTTTACGCTGCAACTTTCACATGAATTGTATTACGTTAGTAGAATTAAGAGTGAAAATCGGTTTTCGATTTAAAAACCTTATCACACTGGAAGTTGAAGCTAAAAACGATTTAAAAGATATAGAGTCTGTAGTATAGGCTGCCTGTGTTCAAAGTTTGAGACTGATCAGACCACTCTTCCGAGGATTCGTAAACTGGTTGGATTGAAACCGCTCGTAGTTAAGTATTATTTAGTAGCAACAAGTATCATTATACAGCGTACGTTTTTGAAAGGATTTGCGGTAATACTCACGTCTTGGCTAAAATCTATCCGAAAAATTTTAGGAAAAATCTCATTAAGATGAGTACGCTTTAGTCTATCAGACTATGGATAAAAAGAAATTGTGAAGGTGATAGAAATGACGGAAAAGTTTGCAAAACTAAAAATATGACTTTTTTTAAGACCTTCGGAAAAAGGTATTTCTAAACATACTTGGCCTCAGAATGACTACTTCCGTATATGAAATAATATAGCGCAGAAAAACAGCTTGCGAATGACATATAATAGTTCTACTAAAGTATGGAGCCGAGAGAGCCACACTCGAAGATATGATCGATAATACGTTTCAGAAGTGATTATAGTTAATTGGACTCAATTTTTTCTAAGAACATTTCTAAGGTCTGCCGAGTGGCTAGAAATGCTCTCCTGTTCATTCTGCATCTAACCATGTATGTATCGATGGAATTCAAGCAAAGGCCGATTCCATCAAATAATCGTCCCCGTCCTTTCTCAGGTCAAATCGTTAAGTTATACCCCCAGAAACTTTTGACCAAATCAAGTCTGACTTGACTTGGACTTGAGGCATTTTTGATTTAACTTGCTCAGCTCTGTTCCATACCACACACTATATATAACGTGAATAAGAAAAAAACTTGAACAGAAAATCGTTCTTCTTCGCAGCTCTAATATTTCTTCCACTTGAATTGATTCTTTTGTCTGTAGGTATTTTTCAATTATGAGAAAAACTATAATATTGAGAGAAAAGAGAAAATAAAAAGACAGTCTGCAGAAAGATTCTTTTTTTATATATATCACATTTATTTATACTAACAGGGAAAAGAAAGAGAAAGACAACTGCAGCAGTAATTGTAAGAAAGCCTAGCAGTAGTATCGAATCAGACAAAGAAAAGTTTTTAAAACAAGTATATTTTACGGTCTTTTTATGCTTGAATCACAAATACCTGTTTTACATGCGCAGCATTTCTATGAGTGGTGTTAGAGCATGAGACAAAGAATTACACGCAAGAGATCTGCTCAAGGAACATTATAATCAACACACAGTAGACAGTTTAAGGCTGTGATTCAGGCATCGGAATTCATATAGTCTTGCTCCCAGATGCTTTACCGAAGTCAAGACTTAAGACAAGGCTTTGCTGTCTTGTGAAATACTTGAAAAATTAATAATCTTCTAAAACACGTAACCTCAAGTCAAACGATACTATGATCGAAAAAAACGCCGCGCGAATGTTTTTGAATAGCGTATAGCAGAATACTGATAGAGTCTCCCAGTGTCCACCAATCACTCTTTACCAGGGGTGTCACTTTACTGTTCTTTACCAAATGATAAGTAGTAAAACATATTAGTTATTACCTGTTATTACTATCCTCTATTTGTTTCAAATAATGGAAATCAGATGAACCCTACCTGATTAAATACACTGAGTCTCACGCCGAGGCTCTATTTGTTAAAGAAGGTTAAAATACATAACGAAAATCTGTTGTCTTGCAAGTGGAAATCAATTTTGAAGAAAACAAAGATTGTATTACTCTTTTTAAGAATATGAATGCGTGTGTATAGATGTACGAACTCCATACACACGCTGAGAGAATATAAGATAACTTGCTATCTTCCGGTGGGTACACAGATTAAATTTCTGTGCGCATCGAGATTACAGACTGAAGTGTTCGCTTGTACTGTAAAATTGACATTTGTACATTCCACTCGAGCACAATCTTTAATTGTGCCATTTTCATAACAGTAAAATAGATCACACGGTTGATATTTCGGGATTTTAAATGGTTGACCAAATATAATATGCCATACGTATTCAAGTGTTAAAGCAAGTCGATCACTTGATTCGGTCGAATTTGAAATGTAGTTATACAGTCTCAAATAAAACTGTTTCGTTCGTGCCAAAATTAGGTGTTTTTTTACCGCAATCGTGGCACAACACGGACATTCGATATAATCAGCAGGTGGCCATACTATATCTCTTAGTGTATCATTCCAAAATTTCCAATTGAATGCGTATTGTGGATTGGGACTATCGCGAATGATTTGAGTATTAGTGACGTAAAATGCTTGTAACGGCATGTAATCGAATCGTCCCCATTTGAGTGCGCGTAACGATTTAACAATGTCATCAGGCTCTTTTAAGTGCCAAGCAAATCGATGGCCGTGAATGAAAGCGACAACGCCTGGTAAACGATCATAATAGTCGATGATATATTTCAAATAAACCATTATTTCTTTTCCTTTATTAATGGGTATATTATGTAGAGCAAACGCATCCTCTTTTGTATAAACAACATGATTTATATGATGTAAATACAAATCGAGCCATGTTATGTCTTCTTTGTAACGAGTAACGACAATCGTTCGATTATCAAATGAGATTGGTATGGATGGTGAAGGCAGAATAAAATTTTGATGTTGCTCGTTTACATTCGAAAATGGAAAAATATAAAAACCGGAAACAATAAAAAATACAAAGCATGTTAACAAAATTAGTTTAAATAATCGACTCAATCGATTCTTAACAGATTCGACAGACATTTAATTTTCAGCTTGATCTACGAGATGTAGCTTGTAGTCAAAAATTTTTCTATATTTTAACAAGAAGATCAAAGCAGCTTCATATTTACGCTATTCCTGCATGGTTGGTTACTCCATTCAGTTTACTTTCTTTCGCTTTTTTAAACAATGCATTTTAATTTTGCATCCTATCATTCACAAAAGTCTTTTTTCTCTCTTTCATCTCTCTTTCTTTTTTATTTCACAGTAAATAAAAAAAATATTTGGTGAATATGAGGACGCAAATTAAAAAGCGTGTGTTCATTAATGTACTCATTCATACTTTAAGAAAATTGACAAAATTTTTCTTTTCTTTAAGATTCATTTCGACTTGCAAGACAACAGTTTTTCATTATGTGTTTCAACTTTCTTTAATAAATACAAACTCAGTGTGAGAGTCTGCGTGTTTAATTATTTTTTTTTCTTTTCTGAATTTACGCATCTGATTTCTAGATTAGTAAATATGATTTACTATAGTAGTAAGTCACATTTTAATTTGAAACTAATAGACGAAGGACGGTAAAAGTAGATTGAGTTTTAAAGTGACATGAAACTTCTATACTGTTGCCTAATTTCTAGTTTAATAGTTCGGTTTCAATTTTTGAGGTAGGGAGTATGGTTTGTAGATTCTTTCTCAAGAGATTTTGCTGCAAACGCAACTTCTCCATCTTGATCAATCTGTACATTAACCGTAATTTATTACCAAGTTCAAGTTATTATGATGACGTGATGCTCGTGCATTTTACTTCTTTTCAGTTGTTTAAAAAATGCATTTTAATTTTGCGTTTTCTCATTCATAAAAGCCTTTTCTCTTTCCTATAAATTTGTTTGACATTAATGAGAAAAAAGCTTTTATGAGTGAGAGAATATTAAAACGCGTTGTTTAAAAGTGTGAAAGCGAGAAAAATGGACGCAGTAATCACGCCGGAATAACGCAAATTATTTTCGAGAAGGGTCACTACTCAACTTTACATTTTACTACTAGCGCCGCAAGAAAATAATGACTCCCGATATTCTTTTAATATCTCAGCAAGGAAGGGAGCAAGAGACCTGCGGTTTACAGTGGGCATTCAGGTGGAAATTTAGAAAAAACAGTGAGCTTGCTTTTTCGTAATATAAATAGTGTTTCATATACTTTGAGTGACGGCCGATTTAATGGCGAAAGAATTTTTATTCTACGACTTTTCCTTCTATAAAAGCTTTGAAATGCAAAAACACCATGTAAATGCGCTACTTTTTCGGAAAATTTCGACTTTTATTGAAGGATAGTAAATTAGAATAAAACCGAGATCATATTCGGAAGAACACAGTCAGACGAATACGAAATAAAAAAGAATTTTGTTTTCCGAGTGAAACTTAAGAATTTTGGAATGGATTCTTTCGAAAACGGTCTAGGCTGTAAAGACTCTCTCTGGTATCTTGAGAACGCGCAGCTACTAGAAAACTATTCCATTCGAAACAGAATCGTCGAAAACCTATAGAAAGTGGTTCAGATAATTTCAGCCCACTTATAAAGTTAATGTCCGCCTGCCCTAGCGAAAAATGCCCACTGTGCGATTTTGAGAAGATAAAATTAGATACTTTGCGACAAGAGTCTATGGAATAATTTCGGAAAAAGCAACATCTTCAGGTAGTAAGCCTTGCGGGAACATTTGCAAAATAACGCCGTTTTTCGAGAAAGCATCGAATTTTAATGGTCCAAAAGTGAAAAAGGCAGTTCGAAATGAGATCGTTTATTCTACATAACTTTCAGGTCGCTATCTCTCAAGGTACAATCCCTAGGAAATTTTCTCGGTGACCTACCTATCTCAGTCCGGACCGTTCTGAAGAGATTAAAAATAATCGAATTATATATTTTTTTCTCATATCCTGATCATCGTGCCAATGTTTATTTCAGGTCTGTGATCTAATTTTAATAACATTTTGATTTATGGGCTTTGATGAAATCTCATGGTTGGTGATTAAATCTCTTATTTTGACTAAACGACCATTATTTTACATCTTTGAGTCAAGTAGCGTTAGACTTCCTGCTCTTTACTGAATTTCTTCAAAAAAACAACTATAGTGTAAGAATTGGCACATTCCTTTTCTTCTCTTTCTTTCTCTTTTTTCTCTGTGTAATTCTACATTTCTTTTCTATAGGTTACCACGTACATTGATACATATATTTATAGAATAATGTCCTTAGTCTTATGATTGTTGTAGTTTTAATTGTGTGCATTTTTAATACTGTAACTCTGACGATGAATCGGTGACTCGATAGCTCAGGGAAAATTTATTAAATGAATTTAGCTGCAATGTATAATAAACGTCAAACTTTTATTGTAAAAGTCCTACCATTAACCAAACTCAATGGAAGCTGAAAGCTTCCAATAAATCAAAATGTTATTAAAATTAGATCACAGACCTGAACTAAACATTGGCACGATGATCAGGATATGCGAAAATCTATAATTCGATTATTTTTAATCTCTTCAGAACGGTCCGGACTGAGATAGGTAGGTCACCGAGGAAATTTCCTAGGGATTGTACCTTGAGAGATAGAGGCCTGAAAGTTACGTAGAATGAACGATCTCATCTCGAACTATCTTTTTCACTTTTGAACTATTAAAATTCGATGCTTTCTCGAAAAACGGCGTTATTTTGCAAATGTTCCCGCAAGGCTTACTACCTGAAGATGTTGCTTTTTCCGAAATTGTTCCATAGACTCTAGTAGCAAAGTATCTAGTTTTATAATCTCAAAACCGCAGGTCTCTTGCTCCCTTCCTTGCTGAGATATTAAAAGAATATCGGGGGTCACTAGTTTCTTGCGGCAATAGTAAAAGCTTTTTCTAGTAAACTGGTCAAACTAACACCAAAGATCGCTACATTCAAACATAAGTTTTTGAACACGACTGTTGCCCTAGTCAGCCACATGTGAATTTCATTCTGAATGAAGTGCGTCACTTAATGAGTGGGTAGAACGTTTGGAATCTCCACTAATTCCATCTCGCTCACTAGCTATTATTTCTATTGCACCACTATTTGAATTCGCTCGTTGATCACAATGTTTATCTTCGTCAGCAATATAGAGATTACCGTATTTATCAAGTGTCACATCGAGGAGCATCAAGGTCAGATGCTAACGAGGGAACCTCTTTAGGTATTAAATCGCTTTTCGCTTGGGACCATTGCCATTCGATAGGTCCTACTGAGTAGTGAAAAAGTCTAGAAGGGTTTGGGTGCATGGCTCTTCTGGACTGAAATATCGAATTATCAAGTTATGATCGAAATAGACTAAAATATCAAAGTAGGGGGCCGTATAAGGTTATGAATCGGCCCACTCTCTTTTTTGACTAAAAGTGGATCCATATGTAGTAAAAAAGTGCCTCTATTCCGTTTTCGGTAAAATCAGATACTTTTGTTAGGTAAAACCCGGTTAATTCCTGAACAATAGCATCTCAATAAGCACCGGTAAAAAGCCACCATATGATGAGTACAACAGATTTTCCTCAACTACCTTACACTGAAATGGCAAACTAAACACAGCATTAGATAGCCCGTAAAATTCTCTACAAACCGAGCTACTCAGAATACTTTCACTGGTGGAACCAGTCATCAAAGGCATACAAAACAAACATTCGAGGGCAGAAAACAGCTCTAAAATACTCCTTTCGTAATTTTTTCTGTCATAATGAAAAAATATACATTCATTTTTGAGAAATATACTGTTAGATAGCCCATGAAATTCTCTACAACGTGAGCGGGTCAGAATATCCAGACAGGTGTAGCCAGTCATTAAAGATATGGAAAAGAAGGGTTTGGGTGTTATCTATGCAGTACAGTGTGTCACAGCCGCATTACTTTTGGATCGTCGGATTTCTCAGCTTCTTGTAAACTGAACCACCCCTATTCCGCGACTATGCCTGTATTTCGCTGCTACACAACACATCATTTTATAATAATTTTTATATAGATGTATACAGACACTTCGTTTTCTTTTCTAATTGTATAATATACTTTTCTTTTACAGTTTATCCTACTCTGGTATTATTTAGACTATTCTATAAGAGAACTTCTTCCGTTTTTCTGTTTAAATAATAAAATACGAAAAGAACACAATTTTATGCTATCATCAAACGTTCATCTTTTATATATTAGGGAGAAGTAACTTATTCCTGTAATTTATTTCCTTTTGCAGCCACTTCGCGAACTAAAATCATATTAATTAGAGAAGACAGAATTGCCATTTTTTATACTCGTTTAAAGTATATGAGTTGTACACGATACTCATCTGTTTCTCAGAAAACGATCCCTTTTAGTTTTTGAGATATATGACTGTGAATATCGCTCATGATCGTTTAAAAAAGCAAGTTTTTTGCAGTGGTAAGACAAACGGGAAAAATAATTCAAAATATAATTTATTTGAAATATTTCAACTATTTAGACATACATATAGATTAACTTCGTGTTAGACATGTTTAACAGTTTGTAAAAGTAGTATAATAAAATGAGCTAAGGCATGTATGAACACATGATGCTCTGTAGTATAACTCTAGGACTGATTTTTTACTGATATGTGCATCCAGACTGGTAGATCAAAATTTGGAGAGAAATTACATTTGCCAAAACTTGCTTTTTTAAACGATCATGAACCATATTTCAAAAACTAAAAGCGATCATTTTCTAAGAAACAGATGAGTATCGTGTACAACTTATATACTTTAAACTAGTATAAAAAATGGCAATTTGGTCTTCTCTAATTATTAGGATTTTGGTGCGCGAACTGGTTGCAAAGGGAAAATAAATTACCATAATAAACATGTCAGATGAGAAAGTTTTAGCATAACTCTTTCCTGTCTTGACCAAAATTTAATGCCACATGGTACTTATGGGTTTCGGACCGTACTCTTTCGTTTGTATAGCGGACTCAGCAAACGATGAAGCATTTCTAATTATATGGCTGCATTCAGCAAACAATGGGCTTCATTTTTAAAACAAAATCGAGTCTCCAACTCTGATTAAAATTTTTAAATTAAATTTGAACCCTTTTTAAAATTTTAATAACTCGACACTGGAAAGTGATGAAGACCTCGGCCAAACGGCATTCGATAGAAAATTGAAAACTGAACAAACATAGGGAGTTGCAGAGTTTTCAACTAAACGTTTATGTCAAAAGATTTTCTCAAAATCATTCACCGGCCTTACAATGGCGTAACCAGGATTTTTAGGCTGTTGGACCGCGCTCCATAGAGTCCAAAAAACTGTGGGCCAAACATTTCCTGTTTGGGCAGGAAATTTTTCCGACTGTTGCCAGTTCTGATGCCGTCATTTTCTGTGTTGTTCGTTACCATGGCTATGGGCTGTTCTCAATACCGCATATTCTGTACGATAGGGGAAGCAGCGGGAAGCCTGAACTGTGGTAATCTGGTAACCAATCATGTAAAGAACTAAAGAATAAGCACATGCAATAGTGTATTCTGTAAAAACCACTGTACTTTTATAACTTGAGAACGAAAAGAACTTGAAACGAAGAAAGGTATAAGGTACAGCTAACTTTTGATGGCGAATCAAATGGGTACTTTTTATCGAAATATAAGTTAATTTTTTTCGCTTGATGACTTGGCGACTGACTCTTGCGTTCTTCAAAGAATTTAACTGTGATATATAATATGTTGCGAAAAAGACACCATAAAGATAATATATGTCGCTTCGGGGTCAATAAATAGCATATAGCAATTTAGATATATTGATGAAAAATATAATTTATTACTTACTTTGAAGCTTTTTTTACATAAAACCGTAAAATAACTTTTATTTGACATAATAAAAGAAAGCCTGTTAAAAGTTTGAAGGCCTGTTCAGCCTTTATTCTTTGTTTCTATCGGATGGCGCAGAATAAATTAGATTGTTTGTATCTTCAAATTTTTTCCTCCTCCTTATATTTGATTGAGCTAGTCTTTTTACCAAAAGATTCCCTGTTGAATTCTCTACGAAAAATGTATCGAGTGTTTCATTGCAAAACCCGAAGGTGTAAAATGCCATGAGAAATGGTGAGAAGTACTAAAATGTTGAAAAATAAACGCATTTACAGGTTTGTTTAGTATTATCTGCTAAAAGTTTGTGAGAAAGGAAAGCTGAAGTAGCCATCGTGTACGCCTCGAAAAGCTCCATCTTCCTCCTGTAATTTAAATGATTTTCAGTTAGAATGAGGGCGCAAGAATTTCATTATTTGTTGCCACTTTTTCAAAAAATGACGATTTTTTACCAATAAAACAAATAAAGCTTAGTCAAACTTGATCCAGTCAGATTCATTTTTTTAATTTTGAAAATAAATGATTAGTCATTATGATCGCATCTCTAAGATTTCGAAAAAAACTTTTGTTTATGTTCCACCACGGAAAAAAAAGCTAACAACTTTTGCTATTCACTTGGTTGCTGAGAAATTAATCTTTGCGCCAAGTATTTAGATTCAAACGATTTTCGTTCTACACGACGAGACAGAGTGTATTTGAAACTACACAAATATATACTGAAACCGTGTTTTAATGCTTGCGAAACTATTCGAAAAAATTTCACTCTCTTGGGCATTTATTTTTTCAACATTTTAGTACTTCTCATCATTTCTCATGGCATTTTACACCATCGGATTTTGCAATAAAACACTCGATACATTTTTTGTAGAGAATTCAACAGGGAAGCTTTTGGTAAAAAGACTAGCTCAATCAAGTGTAAGGAGGAGGAGAAAATTTGAAGATACAAACAGTCTAATTTATTCTACGCCACCCGTTACTTCTACAGTCCTACAAAATATTTGCCAGTGCGTTTAATGGAACATACATTTCAGAGCCAAATAATGATACAAGAGTTAATAGACGATATCGTTTTCGTAAAGCATGTCGTCTTTTCGACTTGCCTGCTGAAGCTGATTACGTAATCGACAAAATTCACGTTGAAGATATGATTTTTTACTTAAGTAACGCTTCAGCGGTGCCAGAAAGAATAGGTTATCTTTTATATTCATCTTAAAATATGGTAAGTACGTTCACAAGCTAGCTACTCACATGACATTAGGTCAATGTCGGTAAGACATGGCTATCAAAAGTTTTCCGTAACTCCTCCTGATCAAACAGAAGCTAAGAGGAAAGCAAATGAGTTATCAAAATCTTCACCACTCTGGCCTTCTTCGAATGTCTTCTCACTTTTGGCTCAAAGTCAGCTGATTGTACTTAATCAAAGGTACTGATTATGAATATGATAGTCCAATGGGGCTCTATAGAAAATCAGGTTTTTCTGGGCACTCCAGAGCTTTCACAGAAAAAATCGGACAAACAAAATGCGAAAAAATGAAGATCATTTTCAGTTGTTTGGTTTCATGTTTTATTTATTTATTTATTTTGAAAAAATTGATTATTACTTTTATTTACCATTATTTCTCAAATTTGCTGCAATACTGCGGAAAATGTTCAAAAATTCATTATCATTTTGCGGAGACTGTTCTTGTAATACTGTGTGTTTTTCAATAATTTCAACTACTTTAACATCTGATTTATTGACAACTTCGTTAGCCACATCCATGACAAGTACGTGATCCACGTTTTTGTATTTAGGAAAAAATTTAATGTTTATAGTTTTACGCGATGGTACTGGTTTTTTACAATGTGTTTTAGATCACATGCTTGTAAGATTCGATCTTTTCATATTTATTTTATATCAATTTAATTGTTCGATTTTATTTTGATTTTCTAATTCTAATATATAGTGTCGGACTTATGATGCATTAATGTTATCGACAGAAGCAACTGTTTCAATCTGTGGCATTGTTAATAGTGTACCAGAAGGCAAAAGTGCACCAGGAAATCAAGAAATGATAGCTGATTATTGGGAAGTTATTGGACATTCACCATCTGGTGGAGCTGATTCTGTATTAAACGAAGTAGGTTCGAACAATATTAAAAGAAAGATATTTTTATATAAAAACAAGACAATAGCTTACAGATTGTTTCTATTTTTATAAGGAATCGCATATTGATGTGCAATTGGACAATCGACATATGATGATTAGAGGAGAAAACGTGAGTAAAAATGTTTTTGATTGTTATCAATAAGACAAATGCAATATGTTTACTGTACAATTATACTATATACTAGCGAGAACCCATGCATGCTGCATGGCCGTTTTTTCGCCATCCAATTCCGGAGTTTCCCAGTAGCGAGGACATTATGGAAAATGCACTTACGGCCTTTATCGCCACTCTCTGAACATAAATCATTGTATAATTTTTACTTTATTTGCAGCTCTAGAAACTTCTGGCATTGACTGACTCCGATCCATGACCTTTGGCATCCATGACCTTTCGGTATGTGTGCCCGCAGGCTCCGTGCAAAAGTGCACAGCTGTCTCTATCGCAAACTGCATAAGTGTAAGACTATGGCGCCATCTAGCCGTATGCGTCATTCTGACTGTAGTGTCCTCTGTCAACATTATATCACGCAGTCATGCTGTATCCACTATAAATCACATTTTTGCATTGACTGTGACCCCATCTACCCAGAACTGGATAGTTTGGCCTGTACCGCCATCTATCAAACGTGCGCTGTCGGGATAGTAGCATCCTATGTGATCACTATCACACGCACACTATGTGGTGCCATCTGTTAGTGGAGCTAGTCCATGCGTTCATTGTTGCACCACCTATTGATTCCGTGATATCGACGGTGGTGCCCTGTATCAATTCTAAGCACTTGGTGCCGTCATATAGCGCCCTCTAGTCATCAGCGTATATAGCTGACCTTTGATCTTTGACCCGAGCACACACACACACACACACACACACTGAACATTATATATATAGATGAACGGTGTCGCACAAGGAAAATTTATTAATAACGAGCTAGAAGAGTCGTAAGACAATTGACACTGTTATGATCTGCCATTCCTGGCAGCTCATAAGACTGTGTTTTCTTCTTCTTCTCTATTATTGCGCAACTCTTGTTTCATTCTTTCGTTTTCGTTTCTTTCTGTTATTGCGCAATTCTTGCTTCATAATGGGATTTTCCTAAACTATTTCTGTTCTTATGTAACTCATGCGCAACTCTTGCATAACTGTTGTTCAACTTGTGTACTATATATAGCCGTTCACTTTCTTAAATAAAGATGAGAAGTGAGTGAGTAGAACCTCACAGACACCAGAGCGGAAACCGCACCGGCAAACCTCTTCTTCTAATTAGTGTTGTAGGTAGTTGTTTTAAAAGTATTCAGGATTACACTGCTCAGTAACAGGGAAAATACTGCAGTTGGAGTATGAGTCATTCTCCTTTGATTTAGAAAAAGAACACGTAAAAAGTAAATGTGTGTTTTTTGTTATTATACGTGCATAAAGTTCCGAAATAGTCTTCATGTTTGTACTGTAAATATTGTAAAAAATGATAAATACTAATTCTTCTTTCATGTTGATCTAAAAGAAAGAGTTTAGAAAAATAATTTATTTTACCAAATTTGTCGATATTCAGTTCATCGGAATCGACATATATCTTGAAACTTGAAGTGTCGATAAACGTCTTTTTACTGAACAAAACTCGAACATAAATAATTCGAAGGTAGCTAATAATTTAGAAACTATCGAGTATAAAACTGCTTCGAATATCATTATAGATTTTATATAAAAGTCCGTGTATTGGTTTATTCGAGATTTCGATAAGATACACTTATTATCTTCAAGGGCCTGTTTCTTAAAAAAACTTAAGTAGAAAATCTGACTTAAGTCAAAAAAGACAAAGACTT